TGAGCAATACCACACATTGTTAGGCAGACGCGTCGAGGTATCCAATGAGTTGGCAGATACCTTCCTGGCGCTGATAACAAAGATAGATGACGAAGTGAAAGAGAGGCGTGAAGCGCCAATCTCAGTTACGGAAAAATGCATGGAATAGAAAGCATTGGATGTGGAAAGTTTCCTAGACCAGATGGCCTAGGAGCCCTCTTTTACTAAGCATTTGAGGTTGAAATTGCAGAAATGCTTCACAAGCTCATAGCGGAAGCATACGAACTTGAAGAGGTACCGCCCCCATTTAGAAGAAATCATGCTGTGTAATACCTAAAACAAAGGACCGTTTTAAGCTACAGTCAGTTAATGTATATAGGCCGGGAAGTCTCACAAATGTTCACCATAAACTATACAAAAAGTACTAGATAAAAGATGACAATCTTTTACTAACACGATAATAGGCCCCGACCAATCTTGCGGAATAAAGAACAGAACAATATTCACTAACATTGACGCCACTAGAATAATACTGGAGTGTTGCAATGCGAACCTTCGATGTGTAGCTATGGTCCAGCTCGATTTGGAAAAAGCTTCCGATAGAGTTGCCCAAAACATTCTTTTGGCGACGTTGGAATACATTATAGTGGATGGAATCATGTGCGATGGTGTCGCCATAGCTTATGATAAATGTTTTGCTCAACTAATAATAAATAAAAGAATGAGCTACAACATACCGGTCCTATCAAGAGTGCTTCAAGGGTGTCCTCTGTCACCATTGCTTTTTGCTGTTTTTCTCGAGATCTTCTGTTTGAACATACGTGAAAACCAAAATATCCGTGGTTATCACCAAATAAATCAAGAAGTAAAAATACTGGCGTACGCAGACGACATCACGCTGTTGTGAACGGACAACGAAAGCTTTCGGGAGGCACTCAAAAATGCTAGACAATTATGTAGTAGCACTGGTGGTTCCATAAACTGGCAAAAATGCTTAGGATTCAGGAACAGCCAGTGGAGTAGCAGGCGGACAGTTTTCGAAAGCATATCGCTTATCTACATGACAACCAGTTACATTAGAAAGCATTTTGAATATTACCAAGATAAAAAGACGAAGTGGACAGAACAAGCTGAGCGCGTACAGGCGCAAAAAACTACGTGGGGAAGCAGACGCCTCTCAATATTTTCAAAGTCGGCAGTGTGTAATGTGTTTCCTGTCGCCAAAGTGTTTCATATATTACTTGTATTATGTATGGCCCGGGTGAGTGTGCATAAAATGCACATAATTTTTGCTGTTTTTGTGTGGGGGTCATCGTGGAAGCGTAAAAGCCGCTCGAATTTACTTCATTCAGTGAAGAGAGGTGGCCTTGGACTTCAGAATTTCTTTTTGAAGCTAATATTTGCCCGATTTATGTTTCTGTGAGATAAAACTAATGATTTTTTGCGATGCGTTGTGCAGATAAGGTTGGGTGACGCAATTACAGATTATAATGTTACGTCACGCGCTGCACCAAACGTGTCCATAAAAGGGTTTTGGTTTGAAATAACAAGAGCTTAATGGTTCCTAAGAGCGCGTTTTTCGCTAGAATACTTGATTTCTTTAAAAACTCAATTTTACAGATATTTGCTTGATGTTATGTGCCAGGTTCCAAGATACCGAGTTATATATGTATTGGGGGAACGAAAAGATTGTTTTAAAGAGGGTTGAATGATTGCCAGTGAGAGCTACCACAAAAACGTTTTTCTTCATGCTACACTGCTTTACCTGCAAAAAGCAGAAACACTACATCATATTTTCCTGGATTGCTCAGACTCTGTCTTCCTTAGGGACATTCTGCAAATGACATTCAAAAAGGAATTCCATTAACTCCATTAGGAATCCGGTTTTTACCATTCGAAGATACAGAAGGTGTGCCCTACGACATGGTGATGTTACTTTGCATGCACAGTGTGTGGAAAACACGAATAGCTTTTCAAAATCTAAGTTTAAATATAGGGCCTGCCAGTCAATACTTAAAAATATTCAGTTCATTAGAGAAGTGTACAAATCCCTTACTGAACCACGAGAGTGGTTACCTGTCCTTGGCTGCGATCAAATATTACTATTTAAACTGTCACCAAGATACACTCGCACATTGAACATTTTGAATTGAATTTTTGGCTGGGGCCGATACTATCTGTGCTGTCTAATGTCTGTATCGCTATGAACAAGTTAAAAAAAAAGTCGTGGCCAAGTGGTTAAGGCGATGGTCTTGAAAACCACTGGGTTCTTTCCAAGCAGGTTCGAACCCTGCCGACTGCGTTTCTGCGTTATCTTTTTCTCTTCACGACATAGTCGACTATGTTCAGAGTGAAATAAGAGTAGACGCCGTCGCCGCAGTCGTGACGGAGTGGTTAAGGCGATGGTCTTGAAAACCACTGTGTTCTTCTCGCACAGGTTCAATCCTTCTGACTGCGTTTACGCGTTTTCTTTTTTTTCTCCTCAACATAGTCGACTATGTTCAGAGTGAAATAAGAGTCGATGCCGTCGCTGAAGTCGGGGCCGAGTGGTTAAGGGATTGTTTTGTATACCATCGGGGTCTTCCCGCACAGTTTCGAACCATGCCGACTGCGTTTCCGCGTTTTCTTTTTCTCTTCTCGACACAGCCGACTATGTTCTGAGCGAAATAAGAGAAGAAGCCATCGCCGCAGTCGTGGCGGAGTGGTTAAGGCAATGGTCTTGAAAACCATTGCGTTCTTCTCGCGCAGGTTGAATCCTTCTGACTGCGTTTCCGCGTTTTCTTTTCTCTTCTCGACATAGTCGACTATGTTCATAGTGAAATAAGCGTAGACGCCGTCGCCGCAGTAATGGCCGAGTGGTTAATGCCATTGGCTTGAAAACTGCTGGGTTCTTCCCGCGCAGGTTCAAACTCTGCCGACTGCGTTTACGTGTTTTCTTTTTCTCTTCTCGACATAGTCAACTATGTTCAAAGTGAAATGAGAGTGGACGCCGTCGCCGCAGTAATGGCCGAGAGGTTAAGGTGATAGTCTTGAAAACCATTGGGTTCTTCCCGCACAGGTTCAAACCCAGCCGACTGCAATTCAGCGTTTTCTTTTTCACTTCTCGACGTAGTCGACTATGTTCCGAGTGAAATAAGAGTAGAAACCGTCGCCGCAGTCGTGGCGGAGTGGTTAAGGCGATGGTCTTGGAAACCACTGGGTTCTTTCCGCGCAGGTTGAAACCCTGCCGACTACATTTCCGCTGTTTTTTTTTCTCTTCTCCACAAAGTCAAATATATTTTGAGTGAAATAAAAGTAGACGCCGTCGCCACAGTCGTGGTCGAAAGGTTAAGGCGATGGTCTTGAAAACCATTGCGTTCTTCCCGCACAGGTTCGAACCCTGCCGACTACGTTTCCGCGATTTTTTTTTCTATTCTCGGCATAGTCGACTATGTTCTGAGTGAAATAAGAGTAGAAGTCGTCGCCGCAGTCGTGGCCGAGAGGTTAAGGCTGTTGTCTTGAAAACCATTGGGGTCTTCCCGCGCAAGTTCCAACCCTGCCGAATGCGTTTCCGCGTGTTCTTTTTCTCTTCTCGACATAGTCGACTATGTTCAGAGTGAAATAAGGGTAGACGCCTTCGCCACAGCCATGGCCGAGTGGTTACACCGATGGTCTTGGAAACCATTTGGTTCTTTCCGCACAGGTTCAAACCCTACCGACTGCGTTTCCGCGTTTTCTTTTTCTCTTCTCCACATTGTCAAATATGTTGTGAGTGCAATAAGAGTAGACGCCGGCGTCGCAGTCGTGGCCGAGTGGTTAAGGCGATGGGCTTGGAAACCACTGGGTTCTTCGCGCGCAGGTTCAAACGCGGCCGACTGCGTTTCCGCGTTCTTTTTTCTCTTCTCGACATAGTCGACTATGTTCAGAGTGAAATAAGAGTGAACGCTGTCGCCGCAGTCGTGGCCGAGTGGTTACACCGATGGTCTTGGAAACCCTTTGGTTCTTTCCGCACAGGTTCAAACCCTACCGACTGCGTTTCCGCGTTTTATTTTTCTCTTCTCCACATTGTCAAATATGTTTTGAGTGCAATAAGAGTAGACGCCGGCGCCGCAGTCGTGACCGAGTGGTTAAGGCGATGGGCTTGGTAGCCACTGGGTTCTTCGCGCGTAGGTTCGAACCCTGCCGACCTCGTTTCCGCGTTTTCTTTTTCTCTTCTCGACATAGTCGACTATGTTCAGAGTGAAATAAGAGTGAACGCTGTCGCCGCAGTCGTGGCCGAGTGGTTAAGACGACGGTCCTGAAAACCATTGGGTTCGTTCCGCACAGGTTCGAACCCTGCCGACTACGTTGCCGCGGTTTCTTTTTCTATTCTCGGCATATTCGACTATGTTCTGAGTGAAATAAGAGTACAAGCCGTCGCCGCAGTCGTGGCGGAGTGGTAAAATCGATGGTCTTGAAAACCATGGGGGTCTTCCCGCACAGGTTCAAACCGAAGCGACTGGGTTTCCGCGTTTTGTTTTTCTCTTCTCCACATAGTCAAATATGTTTTGAGTGAAATAAGAGTAGACGCCGTCGCCGTAGTCGTGGCCGAGTGGTTAAGGCGATGGGCTTGAAAACCCTTGGCTTATTCCCGCGCAGGTTCAAACCCTGCCGAATGCGTTTCCGCGTTTTCATTTTCTGTTCTTGACATAGTCGACTATGTTCAGAGTGAAATAAGAGTTAACGCAGTCGCCGCAGTCGTGGCCGAGTGGTTAAGGCGATGGTCTTGAAAACCATTGGGTTCTTCCCGCACAGGTTCGAACCCTGCCGACAACGTTTCCGCGGTTTATTTTTCTATTCTAGGCATAGTCGACTATGTTCTGAGTGAAATAAGAGTAGAAGCCGTCGCCGCAGTCGTGGCGGAGTGGGAAAAGCGATGGTCTTGAAAACCATTGGGTTCTTCCCACGCATGTTCAAACCCTGCCGACTGTGTTTTCTTGTTTTCTTTTTCTCCTCTCGACTTTGTCGACTATGTTCAGAGTGAAATAGCAGATGTCACCGTCGCCACAGTCGTGGCCGAGTGGTTAAGGTGATGGTCTTGAAAACGATTGGGTTCCTTACGCGCAGGTTTGAACCCTGCCGACGGCGTTTTCTCAATTTGTTTTTCTTTTCTTGACATAATCGACTATGTTCAGAGTGAAATAGCAGATGGTGCCCTCGCCGCAGTCGGGGCGGAGTGGTTAAGGCGATGGTCTTGAAAACTATTGCGTTCTTCTCGCGCAGGTTCAATCCTTCTGACTGCGTTGGCGCGTTTTCTTTTTGTCTTCTCGACATAGTCGACTATGTTCAGAGGGAAATAAGAGTTCGACGCCGTCCGCGCAGTCGTGGCCGAGTGGTTAAGGCGATGGTCTTGAAACCATTGGGTTCTTCCCGCACAGGTTCGAACCCTGCCGACTACGTTTTCGCGGTTTCTTTTTCTATTCTTGGCATAGTCCGACTATGTTCTGATTCAAATAAGAGTAGAAGCCGTCGCCGCAGTCGTGGCGGACTGGTAAATGCGATGGTCTTGAAAACCAATTGGGTCTTCCCGTGCAGAATCAAAACCAGCCGACTGCGTTTCCGCGTTTTCTTTTTCTCTTCTCCACAAAGTCAAATATATTTTGAGTGAAATAAAAGTAGACGCCGTCGCCACAGTCGTGGTCGAAAGGTTAAGGCGATGGTCTTGAAAACCATTGCGTTCTTCCCGCACAGGTTCGAACCCTGCCGACTACGTTTCCGCGATTTTTTTTTCTATTCTCGGCATAGTCGACTATGTTCTGAGTGAAATAAGAGTAGAAGTCGTCGCCGCAGTCGTGGCCGAGAGGTTAAATCGATGGTCTTGAAAACCATGGGGGTCTTCCCGCACAGGTTCAAACCGAAGCGACTGCGTTTCCGCGTTTTCTTTTTCTCTTCTCCACATAGTCAAATATGTTTTGAGTGAAATAAGAGTAGACGCCGTCGCCGTAGTCGTGGCCGAGTGGTTAAGGCGATGGGCTTGAAAACCCTTGGCTTATTCCCGCGCAGGTTCAAACCCTGCCGAATGCGTTTCCGCGTTTCATTTTCTGTTCTTGACATAGTCGACTATGTTCAGAGTGTGAAATAAGAGTTAAACGCAGTCGCCGCAGTCGTGGCCGAGTGGTTAAGGCGATGGTCTTGAAAACCATTGGGTTCTTCCCGCACAGGTTCGAACCCTGCCGACAACGTTTCCGCGGTTTATTTTTCTATTCTAGGCATAGTCGACTATGTTCTGAGTGAAATAAGAGTAGAAGCCGTCGCCGCAGTCGTGGCGGAGTGGGAAAGGCGATGGTCTTGAAAACCATTGGGTTCTTCCCACGCATGTTCAAACCCTGCCGACTGTGTTTTCTTGTTTTCTTTTTCTCCTCTCGACTTTGTCGGACTATGTTCAGAGTGAAATAGCAGATGTCACCGTCGCCACAGTCGTGGGCCGAGTGGTTAAGGTGATGGTCTTGAAACGATTGGGTTCCTTACGCGCAGGTTTGAACCCTGCCGACGGCCGTTTTCTCAATTTGTTTTTCTTTTCTTGACATAATCGACTATGTTCAGAGTGAAATAGCAGATGGTGCCCTCGCCGCAGTCGGGGCGGAGTGGTTAAGGCGATGGTCTTGAAAACTATTGCGTTCTTCTCGCGCAGGTTCAATCCTTCTGACTGCGTTGGCGCGTTTTCTTTTTGTCTTCTCGACATAGTCGACTATGTTCAGAGGGAAATAAGAGTCGACGCCGTCGCGCAGTCGTGGCCGAGTGGTTAAGGCGATGGTCTTGAAAACCATTGGGTTCTTCCCGCACAGGTTCGAACCCTGCCGACTACGTTTTCGCGGTTTCTTTTTCTATTCTTGGCATAGTCGACTATGTTCTGATTCAAATAAGAGTAGAAGCCGTCGCCGCAGTCGTGGCGGACTGGTAAATGCGATGGTCTTGAAAACCAATTGGGTCTTCCCGTGCAGAATCAAAACCAGCCGACTGCGTTTCCGCGTTTTTTTTTCTCTTCTCGAAATTGTCGACTATGTTCAGAGTGAAATAGCAGACGTCACCGTCGCCGCAGTCGTGGCCGAGTGGTTAAGGTGATGGTCTTGAAAACCATTGGGGTCTTCCCGCGCAATTTCCCACCCTGCCGACTGTGCTTCCGCGTTTTCTTTTTTCTTCTCGACATAGTTAAATATGTTCAGAGTGAAATAAGGGTACACGCCATCGCCGCAGTCGTAGCCGAGTGGTTAAGGCGACAGTCTTGAAAACCATTGGGTTCTTCCCGCACAGGTTCAAATGCAGCCGACTGCAATTCAGCGTTTTCTTTTTTACTTCTCGACGTACTCGACTATGTTCTGAGTGAAATAAGAGTAGAAACCGTCGCCAAAGTCGTGGCGGAGTGATTAAGGCGATGGTCTTGAAAACCATTGCGTTCTTCTCGCGCAGGTGCAATCCTTTTGACTGCGTTTCCGCGTTTTCTTTTTCTCTTGTCGAAACAGTTGACTATGTTCAGAGTGAAATAAGAGTGAACGCCGTCGCCGCAGTCGTGGTGGAGTGGTTAAGGCGACAGTCTTGAAAACCATTGGGTTCTTCCCGCACAGGTTCAAACGCAGCCGACTGCAATTCAGCGTTTTCTTTTTCAATTCTCGACGTACTCGACTATGTTCTGAGTGAAATAAGAGTAGAAACCGTCGCCAAAGTCGTGGCGGAGTGGTTAAGGCGATGGTCTTGAAAACCATTGCGTTCTTCTCGCGCAGGTGCAATCCTTTTGACTGCGTTTCCGCGTTTTCTTTTTCTCTTGTCGAAACAGTTGACTATGTTCAGAGTGAAATAAGAGTGAACGCCGTCGCCGCAGTCGTGGTGGAGTGGTTAAGGCGACAGTCTTGAAAACCATTGGGTTCTTCCCGCACAGGTTCAAACGCAGCCGACTGCAATTCAGCGTTTTCTTTTTCAATTCTCGACGTACTCGACTATGTTCTGAGTGAAATAAGAGTAGAAACCGTCGCCAAAGTCGTGGCGGAGTGGTTAAGGCGATGTCTTGAAAACCATTGCGTTCTTCTCGCGCAGGTGCAATCCTTCTGACTGCGTTTCCGCGTTTTCTTTTTCTCTTCTCGACACATTTGACTATGTTCAGAGTGAAATAAGAGTGAACGCCGTCGCCGCAGTCGTGGCGGAGTGGTTAAGGCGATGGTCTTGAAAACCATTGGGGTCTTCCTGCGCAAGTTACAACTCTTCCGACTGCGCTTCCGCGTTTTCTTTTTCTCTTTTCGACATAGTTAAATATACTCAGAAAAAATAAGAGTAGACGCCGTCGCCGCAGTCGTGGCCGAGTGGTTAAGGCGATAGTCTTGAAAAACATCGGGTTCTTCCCGCGCAGGTTCAAACCCAGCCGACTGCTTATATGCGTTTTCTTTTTCTCTTCTCGATATAGTCGACTATGTTCTGAGTGAAATAAGAGTAGACGCCTTCGCCACAGTCATGGCAGAGTGGTTAAACTGATGGTCTTGAAAACCATTGGCTTCTTCCCGCACAGGTTCGAACCTTGCCGACTATGTTTCCGCGGTTTCTTTTTCTATTCTCGGCATAGTCGACTATGTTCTGAATGAAATAAGAGTAGAAGCCGTCGCCGCAGTTATTGCCGAGTGGTTAAGGCGATGGTCTTGAAAACCATTGGGGTCTTTCCGCGCAGGTTCGAACCCAGCCGACTGCGTTTCCGCGTTTTCTTTTTCTTTTCTCCACATAGTCAAATATGTTTTGAGTTAAATAAGAGTAGAAACCGTCGCCAAAGTCGTGGCGGAGTGGTTAAGGCGATGTCTTGAAAAGTATTGCGTTCTTCTCGCGCAGGTGCAATCCTTCTGACTGCGTTTCCGCGTTTTCTTTTTGTCTTCTCGACGTAGTTGACTATGTTCTGAGTGAAATAAGAGTGAACGCCGTCGCTGCAGTCGTGGCCGAGTGGTTGAGGCGATGGTCTTGAAAACCATTGGGGTCTTCCTGCGCAAGTTACAACTCTTCCGACTGCGCTTCCGCGTTTTCTTTTTCTCTTTTCGACATAGTTAATATACTCAGAAAAAATAAGAGTAGACGCCGTCGCCGCAGTCGTGGCCGAGTGGTTAAGGCGATAGTCTTGAAAAACTCGGGTTCTTCCCGCGCAGGTTCAAACCCAGCCGACTGCTTATATGCGTTTTCTTTTTCTCTTCTCGATATAGTCGACTATGTTCTGAGTGAAATAAGAGTAGACGCCTTCGCCACAGTCATGGCAGAGTGGTTAAACTGATGATCTTGAAAACCATTGGCTTCTTCCCGCACAGGTTCGAACCCTGCCGACTGTGTTTCCGCGGTTTCTTTTTCTATTCTCGGCATAGTCGACTATGTTCTGAATGAAATAAGAGTAGAAGCCGTCGCCGCAGTTATTGCCGAGTGGTTAAGGCGATGGTCTTGAAAACCATTGGGGTCTTTCCGCGCAGGTTCGAACCCAGCCGACTGCGTTTCCGCGTTTTCTTTTTCTCTTCTCCACATAGTCAAATATGTTTTGAGTTAAATAAGAGTAGACGCCGCCACCGCAGTCGTGGACGAGTGGTTAAAGGCGATGGGCTTAAAAACCACTGGGTTCTTCCCGCGCAGGTCCAAACCCTGCCGACGGCATTTCCGCGTTTTATTTTTTTCTTCTCGACATAGTCGACTATGTTCAGAGTGAAATAAGAGTGGACGCCGTCGCCGCAGTCGTGGCAGAGAGGTTAAGGCTCATGTCTTGAAAACCATTGGGGTCTTGCAGCGCAAGTTCCAACTCTACCGACTGTGTTTCCGCGTTTTCTTTTTCTTTTCTCCACATAGTTAAATATCTTCGAAATGAAATGAGAGTAGACGCCGTCGCCGCAGTCATGGCGGAGAGGTTAAGGCTAATGTCTTGAAAACCATTGGGGTGTTCCAGCGCAAGTTCCAACTCTAGCGACTGCGTTTCCGCGTTTTCTTTTTTTCTTGTAGACATAGTTAAATATGCTCAGAAAAAAATAAGAGTAGACGCCGTCGCCGCAGTCGTGGCCGAGTGGTTAAGGCGATAGTCTTGAAAACCATTGGGTTCTTCCCGCGCAGGTTCAAACCTAGCCGACTGCGTTTCCGCGTTTTCTTTT